TCTAAACTGTAGTTAGGGTTTCCAACCCAAAACACGCCAATTAGGCCCAAAAGCTAAGTCTTTAGATCAATTAAGGTTTCATTAGGTCAACTAGGGTTTCATTAGGTCGGGCACCACCCACTACCACCTCATGTAGTGGTGGTAAACGGAGACTCATGGTGGCGGTCACCACCTCGCGGTGGTGGTTATGGTTTTTTGCTAAGAAAAATGTTGAAGCATCCCATAAGCAATTCAATCACATGCAAATGCACATTGCCACCTTACACGGTGGCTGGTGGCGGCAGAAGGCGGCAGCCACCACCTCGCGATGGTGGTGGTGGTGGGTGTTCCGACCAAAAAAAATACATAAACAACTTCCCACCCATAAAGTACACTCTCACACATACAAAAACATACACACAGCAACCCTCACGGTGGCTGGTGACGATAGAAAACGGTGGCAACCACCACCATGAGGTGGTGGCGGTGGTTTCTAGCCAAAACACACATGCCTTCGTAGTCAACTCGTGGCAGGAACGCATACACGTAAATGACACGAGACCAAAGCTCCCAACCACCGACTAGGAGGCTGTTGTCATTAGAACAACTAGAAATGGTGGTTCAAGGGCCACCGACAACCATAGCCATCATATACGGCGTCAAACCAACGAAAAGAACGAAAGGCGGGAGAGATAAGCCACAATTTAACCTTACCGAGGGCCTTCCATTCGTTCACAGCCTGAACTTTTTCATTCTCGGTTTCTTCCGTCGGTCTCGGCAATCTTCTGGCAGCATGCGAGATTTGGCTCTGGGGACTCCGGCTTCTTCGGCAGCGGGCGTCACTGGCAGCAGCTGTGGCAATCGATCTCAGCTAAGCGGTGGCGGCTGAAGAGGGTTCACATGGTGGCGACGGCTACTGTATCATATTAGGTTTAGGGTTGAAAGCAAGGTAGTGAAGGGTATAAGCCTTGTCCATTTTAAAACTTTTGCACATTTTACAAGTCCAATCCCTCCTCATAGGATCTTTTCAAATTAAACCTACAATTTACAAAGCAGCCCCCAACATCAATGATTCATAACAATTCAAGTCCCAGAAGTTACCATTTAACTCTCAAAATTCCAATATCCTTTCAATTCGAGTCCAATAATTACCAAACACCCCCTGACTTCTTAAAATCCTTACAAAATAACTACTAGAATTACACCCCCTGACTTCTTAAAATCCTTACAAAACCAACACCCGGCTAAATATTATGGACTTTAGGACTACTATTTATTTATTAATCTTTATCTATTTATTTATTTAATAAACAGGGTGTTACAACTCTCCCCTACTTAAATTAGATTTCATCCTCGAAATCATTCATTACCATCCCTTACACCCCAGAAAACTAGAACGACATGACCACAATCCCAAGCATAACCCCTGACTTCCCAAGGTAATCAAACCCAACCCTCAAAAGGTTCTAAACCCTAAAGATGAATGAATTCTTGGCATTATGATCACATTATTTAATCTAAAATCTGTAGTCTTGAGATGGTATGACTCCCTGACAGACCACCCGTGCTGAATCATTATTATTGAACTCAATCCACTTATCTCTCAACTGGCTACTAAACTTCTGATAACTTGAGGTTCCCACAAGAAAGCAGAATCACAGACCCATTTATCCCTGCAGATCACTTATACTTGGCGAAGGCTTAGATAATCCCATTGTGAATGACTTAGCATAACCTAAGCAATCTGTTACTATAACCATACATAAAATCCTAAAACACTAATACTACCCGAAACAATGTGATGCCACATGTCTGCTTTCCAAAATCCACTAAGACCTTCCTGGTCTCAATTCTTTTGTCAGACATCCGAAATACCAGGTTTCACCCTGGTTGTAGAGCCAAAAGACTCCCACGCAGTTGCCACACACGAAATCTGAATAAAATCCTCTTCTGCCAATAGTTTTCATTAGTTATATTGCCATTATGGCTCTAACGACCTCCTAATCCAACTGATCGGGTCCATAGGTCGAATCCTGATGTCACCAATCCAAAACTGAGAATGATTGCTACATGACTAAGGGTAGCCTTATACCACAAACAACCTTAAACAGTCCATTGTTTCTTTGATCCTATGACTGCAGCATTGTTTTTATGGTCTTATCACTGGCTCAACCAGGTCTAACTCATCTGGGAAAATCTGTAGACAAATCTGTGGATTTGCCATGCTCTCACTGCTTCACCCGAACTTGTGGGTACCAATGTTCCTTCCACAATCTAACAACACTCCCATGCTATCTACCAACCTAGTGAATGATACGGCTACTGCAACGCCCCGTTTTAAAAGTAATTATTTATGGATTACCGAGATCAAGGGTAAGGGCGTTTTGGTCTTTTTAGGAATTGGGTTCATTCGAGAAGGTTTCGGGTCTGGGTGTGTTGCTAGGAGCATAGGGCTTCTCGCCATGTTTTCGTGGATATAAAGTCCGTCGGAAACGGACTTAGAATAAATGAGTTATGACACTTTGAAGCTAGCGTCAATGATGGTCCCTAAAGGAAATATTTGGCAAAGGGGTCCTAGGCATGCTTGGAGTCATGCGTGTAATTGGTTGGATACGCCCAACGTAGAGTGGTTAAATGAACGCGGATGTTGGGGGCATACGCCCAGCGTACGTCAAGTGCCCAGAAACCCTAATTTTAGGGCCAGCCACTATATAAGGAACATTATGGTTCCAACCTTAGCCTCCATATCTACTCTCTTACCCTTAGAAACCCTAAGTAGCCGTTCTTCTTCCATTGTTGTGGATATTTGAGCTTGGGGAGCTTGGTTTGGCAAAGGAGAACCTAGAAGAAGAAAGAAAAAGTTGTCAAGGAAGGAGTTGGGTGGCTGGAAAGTTTAGTGACAGTTGCCGGTCATAAGGGTAAAATGTGAACAGTTTCAATAGTTCAATGGCAAATAGATAACGAAAAAAAGTTTAGTGACTAAATGTGACAAAAATCGAAAGCTCGTTTCCCTCTAAAAAGTAGCCGTTCTTCTTCCATTGCCGTTCTTCTTCCATTGTTGTGGATAATCGAAAGCTCGTTTCCCTCTAAAAAGTTGCCGGTCATAAGGGTAAAATGTGAACAGTTTCAATAGTTCAATGGCAAATAGATAACGAAAAAAAGTTTAGTGACTAAATGTGACAAAAATCGAAAGCTCGTTTCCCTCTAAAAAGTTCAATGACTAAATGTGAACAAACTTCCTCTTGTATTATGTTTTAGCAAATTATTTGTTTTTGTTAAATTGTAGCAACATTTGTTGATGAAGAAATCTATGAAATAAAAAAAAAAAAAAAAAAAAAAAAACAAAACAAAACCCTGAAAATATATTTTAAAAAAAACAAAAAACCAAAACCGAAATAAAAAACCAATGGTTTGACATTTTCCAAAATAAAAAATCAAAATATCTAATCTGATTTTGGTTTTACAAAAAAATGGATCATTCTCACTGATGTGAATTATGACCATTGGTTTGGCATGCGAAATTTGTGACATCCCATGAATATGTAGTTACAACATCGTCTGAACTCGTAATTCATAGTAAGGGATTAGAGTATCATCGCATGAATACGTAGTTACAATATCGCCTGAAATTGTAATTCATCACCTACAAGTTATGGGCCTGCTGGTGTTTCCACTGGGCTGTCTACAATAGTCTGTGGTCGCCATCTATACTCTGGTAGATGACTACATCGCCACATTGTTGGTTAAGGTTATGGTATCTCCTTTCATCCTACATCACATATTTATCATCATCTATTTACCTAATTATCATCACCTTTCTATCATCACCTATCTCTCATCATTTTATTTCATCACATTGCTGGTTAAGGTTATGCTTCATAACTTCGAACCCCAAGGTTTACTCTACTAAAGTTTCATATTCTCGTCTCTCTGGACCTAGAAGGGTCCAGATCTATCACACCAAAAAGCTCAAGATAGCTCTTCCTCTCACTCTACACACTCAAGCTCGCTAGGGTTCTCACTTATAGGAAAAGTAGTCGCAATTGAAGGTCATAAGTTCCTTTAAATATGGCTCGGGCCCAAAGATTTAGGGTTTCTGCCAACAGCGTGGACTCGTCGAATCGCCTCACCGACTCGTCGAGTCCATTCATTAATCCAAGTCATCAGTCGCGACCTTACTCGACGAGTTGAGGCGTCAACTCGTTGAGTCTCTCTTCCTAACTCAAAAGAAAAATACTTAAATTATGATACCTGGAAATCCGGATGTTACATTTTGTTTTTTTTATTTCATAGATTTCTTCATCAACAAATGTTGCTACAATTAAACAAAAATAAATAATTTTCCTAAAACATAATACAATAGGAAATTTGTTCACATTTAATCATTGAACTTTTTAGATGGAAACGAACTTTCGATTTTGTTCACATCTAGTCACTAAACTTTTTTTCGTTATCAATTTGTCACTAAACTATTGAAACTGTTCACATTTTACCCTTATGACCGGTAATAGCCGGTCATAAGGGCCGGTCATAAGGGTAAAATGTGAACAGTTTCAATAGTTCAATGGCAAATAGATAACGAAAAAAAGTTTAGTGACTAAATGTGACAAAAGTTGAAAGTTCATTACCCTTTCAAGTCATTATCCCTAATTTATACTTATGATTGAATTTTTTAGATTTTTCTTGCTGCATCTTAAATAAGACAAGTAAGACGTTTTTTAGATTTTTCTTGCTGCATCTTAAATAAGACAAGTAAGACGCGATGGGAACAATGGAACTATGAATTCAAAAGATTCTAGTGAAAACATCTTTTTTTTTAGATTTTTCGTTAAGTAGTACTTAAGTAATCATCTTAAATAGGAAGTTTGCAACCCATTATAATATTTGATATTGCTAAAAACGTGATCAAATTATCCAAAGCACAAAACCGTAAATGTATTCAAACTTACTTTAGAAATAATCATTTTATATTAACATAGGGAATATTTTGACATTATATCGTACATAATTGCTAAACGATTCTGTAACAAAATAATTTTTTATGTCTCGTTTTTATGTAAAGACGAAAACGACGGTTGCCGAATCCCGTGCAAACGTTTCCTATCCATCTGCCTGGGGACCACAACGTCCTTCAAAACCGTAAAGACCATACTCTGTCTCTTCAACAAATCCCCTCTAACTTAAACTTATTTATTTATTAATTTATTTTATAATTATATAAATATTAATAAAAACTAAACCGAAATCATTCAATCAATAGATAACGTAATTAGTAGATAAAGATTGCCATTTGCCCACAAAGAAAGGAACATAATCCAGATCTCAAAATACCAATTAACACCCGCTTCTAATAATCCCTATCCATTTACTGCAACTAGAGTTTGTAACATGCAGTGCTCATCGAAATAAAAAGCTTACTAATAAAAAAGAAAACCCCATCAAGGACGAAGAGAAAAGCGATGCTTGATGATGAAGATGATGATCGGACGTTCCCTATGCTTCCACGTTAGCACACTTTTTAGCAGGAGTGCAGATGAGCCAGACGATACCATAGGGGTCCTTCACCTTTCCCACGCGCCCACCACAGCACGCGCCTTCACCTTCGGTTATTTCACCTTCTGCAACCGCACCAGCCTTTACTGCCTTGTCAATTGCAGCTTCAATGTCTTCAGTCTCTAGACAGAACACCAGCCCAGTCCCCACTGTTTTCACCCTGTACGGACATAAAAGAAAATGCATTCAATATTCAACGAGCATCAAATAATCCAAATTGACTCATTGACAAATAAGTAATAATGACAGAGAAGAAACTAGGAGTACAACAGATGAGAGTTATTAAAATATAATATAAATAATGAAACCTCAGTAGAATAATATATACAAACACAAAAATAAATTAAAACGGACAGGAAAAAAATGGAAGAAATCTTATCTACAGTGGAGTTATGAGATAGTATCGCGAATAATAAGTCCTAAAAAGTACTTGAACGGGAGAAATAACAGAAGGAAATAGAAAGAAAGGATAAAAACGAGAAGATAACTATCACAATCATGACTAAATTAAGATCTGCTTGTGTGAATAAACTCATTAAATGTAAACAACAAATGATACAGATCCAACCTAATTAACAGTGATTGAAAAGGAAAATAATAATACGGTTTTAAAATAGAAGGAACATACGCATACATCAAATACGTGATGAAATACGGAGGAAAAATGAAGTCTAACAGAAAAGTACAGATCAAACAACGTGACAAAATACGGAAAAAAATTCACACACAGAAGTCCACCCAAAAATGAGCATATTCTATGCTAGAACATCAGATCAGTAAGAAATCAGTCTCAAAATATACAGAAACGCTATAGAACGGATAAAATCGACACATATCCATCGTTATGCTCAGATCTTATGAAATGTACAGCATATCATGATTATAACAACGAGTAATGCTAGATAATTATTAATAACAATAAATAACACTCACAGAGCAGTAGAATCATCAGAGAGGTCGGAAATGAGAATACTAGAGGAACCGAGCTTGATCTCAGCAGAGAGAAGAAGCGGAAGCTCCTGTTCAGCCTTCCTCTTCGGATGACTGACGCGATTCACCTCCTCAGCTCCAAACGCAGCTTTGTAGAACGCAACAGCATCGCTCGCCTTCGCCGACTCCACAAACAACTGCGGCTTCAGAGACGAAAACGTCACTGCCTTCTCAGTCGCCGCTCCGTTCTTCTCACCGGCAGCCGCTCCGTTAGTCGCCTCTGTCGCCATTTCCGATCACGGTGTCTGTTTGAAAATGAAAACCCTAAGAGAGAGAAAATTTGTTGGTAGGGATGGGAAGGAAGTTATGTCGAGAACAGGTACGTGGGTGCGTTTTTATAGAAGCGAAGAAGCGGAACCGTTTGTGCTTTTTCCAGGGATAAAATAATGTTGAGGTTTGAACTGGACTTTGGTATTAACCCTCGTTTTTCGGACTTAATTACGATCGTGCCGTGTGTGAGAGAGGATATCGAAGGGGTGAAATGGGAATATTGAAATGAGATTGTGGTAATAGGGACTTGATATTGGGTTTAATTACGAAAGGTGCCACTGGCTTGAATGCTAGGTGGATGAAATGCGTGCGACGTGGAGTTCCGTAATGGGGCCACACATGGAGAGTATTGGGTGACCTGCCTAAATTGTTTCCACGCCAAAAAGCTTTTGTTTTACGTGATCTTTTTTATTTTATTCTTGGTAAATCGTTTTATATTGTTTTTTAAAACAAAGTGATTCTTTGATTCATATTCATTAGACAGAACTCTATATTTGTAAAAGGGTTAATCATTAAAATATCATTTTCTCAAGTTTTATTTAATGTTTTATATTTTATCTAAATGACAATATAATAATAATAATAACTAAGCTGTGACTTTTCATTCTCAAATCTATTTAATATTATAATAGAGATTATTAGTTAGAAAAAATTGTTATTCCACGATGATTTTAAATTTATACAGATGATTTTATGTTCCTTAAGTTGATAACAATTATAATAATTACAATATTTTAATATTCCTTAAGTTGATAACAATTATAATAATTACAATATTTTAATATTCCTTAAGTTGATAACAATTATAATAATTACAATATTTTAATAATAAGTATTCGAACCCCAAGTGGGGGAGAATTAGTAATTCAGGGAGAATGTGTTAAGCGTGGGTTGGTTTTATGTTCAGCACCTAGGATCAGACGTTATCTTCAACAGTGTTGTTCTGGATTTGTGACTTATATGATGCATACCTGGGAGAAGGGTAAGATGATTGTGGATGATGTATCGATTGTTTGGGAGTATCCGGATGTATTCATAGAGGATTTGTCTGGAGTGCCTCCGGAGAGGTAAGTGGAGTTTCAGACTGACTTGATTCTAGGTGCACCTTCGATAGCCAAAGCACCTTATCGGTTAACACCTTCAGAGATGCAGGAGTTGTCTACACAGCTGCAGGAACTACTAGACAATGAATTTATTCGATCGAGTAGTTCACCATGAGGAACGTCGATCTTGTTTGTGAAGAAAATGGATGGGTTGTGTGACAACCCGAAAATTTCTACCTTGTAAAGTCAAGCCAATCAACCAAAAGTCAGACTTAATTGCATTGCCTTCTAGCCTTGTTAAGGGTCATTATAATGAGTTCTAATCCTAGTACACTTAAGGATTGGGTTTAGGTAGGGCTGTAAACGAACTGAACGTTCGGCGAACCGTTCGTGAACTGTTCGGCGGGAAGTTCGTTTATGTTCGTTTATTTAATAAATGAACGAACATGAACAAAAATTATCGTTCGTTTAGTTAAATGAACGAACATGAACAATAATCTCATTCATTCATTTATGTTCGTGAACGTTCGTTTATGTTCGTTCGTTTAAGTTTATTTATATTCATCTATATTCAATTATTTTTTATTATATTGCTATATTATATGTTCGTTTATGTTCATATATGTTCAATTGTAATTTTTTATCTTTGTTCGTTTATGTTTGTTCGTTTATGTTCGTTTAGCATGTTCACGAACATAAATTAACGAACATGAACAAAGTAGTTTGTTAAACGAACGAACATGAACAAGAAAATCCTGTGTGATTTCAAGAGTTTACAGTCGTACACACATGGTGTGGCCGTAAACTCAAGTGTGGCCATATACACCCTTCATTTGGCTGTATACCCCCTTTGATCAATCACATGTGATTTCAACACTTCATTTCAAGTGTTTCCTAGTCCCTAAGGTGGTTTCCTTGCAAGTTAATTGTCTAAAACACTAAATTCATGCCTATTTATGCCAATATATGTCATTTAGGACTCGTTTGTGTCTCGGGATTTCATTTGTGGAACTTCTCATCCTTACACGCATCTGCAATTGAATCACCCACATAAGTTGAGTTTATACCCCAATAATCAATCTTTTAAATTGTTTTAAATGCTTTAGGGGGGATACAAGTGATGGGTTTTGGTCATAAGACATCCTATGTGCTCATACAAACCCTAATGCTTGGATCTAGGTTTCTCTATTGCACATGCTTTGAATCCAAGACTATAAACCCTAATTCTAGCATGCAAGTAATCATATTAACATGTAATTAGGTTTAAGAACATACCTTGATTGTTATGTAGTAATAACAATCCCAATTCCTCCTTGTATTGACTTTGGAATGCTTAGAGTCACAAGTGTCACTCCTCTAATGGCTCACAAACACCATAAGCAAATGGAGAAGGTATAAAGAGAGAGGTGAGAGGCTAGAATTCGTATCTAGAACCTCTTGGGAAGGCATACACGAATTCATAGCCCTAGGGGTGTTTATATAGGTGTAGAGATAGGGTTTCAGTCATTATCCTTATCTAGTTGATTATCCATTAAGCAACCAATAAGATAATCCTTGAATCCTTATCATACTCGAATTCTAAGGGATTTACACCTCAAATTCGTTCACCATATATATAAGATAATCCTTACCTTATTTTGTAACTATCACATAATTACAATTCAGCCCCTCTAGTTTAATTAATTACATTTGATCACAAAACTAATTCTTAATTAATTATTGACCAATATTAATTAAACAAATATGATTTCTCCTTTAATATATTATTCTTATAACATATTAATAAATCATATTTTCCTCTCTCTCTTTATTCATTTCTCCAATCAAATTGCTTTGGTGAAGGCAACCCAAAAGGACCATGCACCATCGGGTCAAGTACATACCAAAATAGTTATGGACTTAGACACTAATCCAACAACAAGTTGGACGCGATGATAATTGTGTAAATGTTTTGTTATAAACATCTTTTAAAGGATTGCTTATGTATTTATAAGTGATCAAAAACATTTCAAAAACTCTTTTAAAGTTATGTTACTTTATAGTTTTCAAAACTCCGTTTTTAAAGTACAATCATAACTCGGTAGATAGATGAGTCTTTTATTCAAATTCAGTATCAGTTCAAGCAATCATACTAGTAAACTATAATATGTATAGTTTAGGGGTTCGGTACATACTATAACATGAAACTGAATGAACATGCTATAAAGAGAAACAGGGAGGAACATACTAAAACAAGAACAAAATAACATTTATGTGAGACTACTTCATGGCTTAGCAATATACTTGTTAGGTTGCGTTTTGTAACCAGAGTCTCCTGGAAGGAGAGCATGATTTTGTGTATAGATCTATACGAGATTGACACCCCGCACCTTGCTGCTAGTTACAGTGGAACTTCACGTCCAAGGGTGACAAATATCACATTCGCGTTGACGCAAGCTATCAAGTTGATCACATGTTATATCAGTATGGTTACAACCACATCACATCTTAACCTTAATTAACAAACTGGTTTTAGTACATTCACTTAGAAAGGGGCCTATAATGCTAACTTTATGATTCCTTAGTGCATACATCAATGATATATTTTGATCAGGTCCGGTAGACAGTAGAGTGTGTGTTTTCCGCTTCATATCATGTTCCTTGTTTGGTTATGGGCTTAGAGCAGATGCACCCAGTCTACTATCTATCCAACTTTATATATATATATATATATATATATATATATATATATATATATATATATGTATATATATATATATTCTGTATACACCAAGTAATCATGAGGGTTACCAGGTATGGGTCAGGTCGTAGTATACGGATTTAATACACCGTTTTCTAGTACAAAACATACTTTTCAGATAGAACATGTAATAGACTAAACTAGAAATTTATCTCAAACAAGGTTTAATCCATTTTATTAAACCAGTATAACTTAAAGGATCTTTAATGATTAACTCTATAATACCTTAGTTTATACATTAAGGTTATACATGATTAATATCTGATAAACAGTTTGGTGTGTGCTTTCCGTCTTACTTCCTGTTCCTTGTTTGGTTGTGAGCCTAGGGCAGATTCACACAATTAACTATATTTCCGATATTAGATTATATATAGCTACTATAAACTAAGTGATTATACAAGGAACCATCATGGTTACCATTTTTACTAAAAGAAATAAGGGTTTTCTTAAAGAATGTTTTCATTAAATATAAAGGAACCATTACAATTAACTCCGTGAGTACCAGATGAATACGCCAGGGTTATATACATCGAAGATCTAATAAACAATGGGATGTGTGACTTCTGTTTCGTTTCCTGTTCCTTGTTTGGTTGTGGGCTTAGGGCAGATTTACACAACCGATTGTTTGTTTACTTTGGGATTTATATAACACTTGTAACATCATAAAATTCCAAACCCAAAATTTTTCATTTTTACAATCATCAAAACATGAGTAATAATTTTAGGTTCCAATGTAACAATTTAGTCACAACCGATTACATAACAAAGATCACAAAATGGTTTCCCCGAGTGTGTGTACGATCACGCCGGCGCCTTCCCACGGTCCTCGCTAGTACCTGAAACACATGACACAACAACTGTAAGCATAAATGCTTAGTGAGTTCCCCAAAATACAACCTACACACGTACGCCTTTCCAGGCTTTGGCCTTCCGGTCCATGTGTCTCAGGGGACTTCCGTCCCAACTGGGTAAACCTTCCGGTCCTACCCACGTCAACCTTACAGTCCATATGACCACGCCTTCCGGCCCATAACATGTTGCCTTCCGGCCCAAATCAAGCATATCATACATGGCACATATAACGAATAACTTAACACACATAAGGCATATATCTCATATCATATTCGACCTTCCGGTCACACAGTCAAAACCCTTCCGGGTACAGTATAGTGATGAGACTCACCTCGTATGCCTCGCTAAGTTGCTAATCGTGAATCCTGGAATCACTCGTGCTCGAACCCTCGAGCTGTAATCCTCCTATGATATCATGAATCTATAATTATTACTTGTACCACTAAGGTTGACCATCCATATCAAGTCAACACAGGTTGACTTGGTCAACACTC